GAGATCTAAAGAATGCACCATTTTTATATTCCACGGAAATAAATAACTTTTCTAAAAATGTTGACGCAAAAATTTTAAGAAAATGAGGCATGGACTCCTTTTCTACGTGACCCTCAAATATCACGAGGTTGGGGCAACACAGGGAAATAACCTCTATCACTTTAACTGGGATATCCGGTACATTACTCACTACCATATTTTTGAATTCACGTCTTCTAAACCTTATTTCTTTAAGTGACCCTTGAGTATTTTTAATTAATCTCGCCAAATTATCTAAATATAATTGATGCGCATTTTTAAAAACCAATTTTTTTAATCGATGAAAACAAGCTGATGCCAAAGGTGCTAGAGTTTTATCATGAAGGTTCACGCAATCTTCAAATATTAAAGTCTCCAAATTTATACAAGTGGCAACGGATTCCAAAGGTAAAGGATTATTAAATCGAACCCTTTCAAAACCAATGATGATTATCTTGATTTAATTACTAAAAAGGTTTGGACTTTGAGGTTGGTTACCTTTTCAAAAAATTCCTTAATTACCGAAAAAGGGATTCAACGAGCTAGGAAAGTCATTTCTTTTGTGAGAAAGAATGGGGAAGAATATGTATGATTTAAGATTTGATGACACGCGTAATCAAATAGAAACGCTTATGTAATAACATTTATATGATGGTTTATAATTTAGATTTAAATGATAGAAAATTCACGTTTCACGTGTAAATTTCATCGCGCTTTTATTTATTTTTTTTTTTTTTTTTTGTTATTCGATTCAATAGATATATAGATTTTTTTTTTTTTTTAAGGAACAAGGAACTTTTTCAATACGAATTTTTTTTTTTTACTGCATCAAGAAAAAAACTGTAAGCAAATATGAAACAAAATCATTTTTATCATTAACAAGTCCCTACGTTCCAATTATGAAATAGAATTTAACAAAGATGTTAATTTGAACACGTTTTGTATATCCCATTGTCAAAATTTTTTTATGATTTTACATAAGCCGAACATACTTAAATATACATTTATATATTCAATGCATATCTATTTTATGTTTTTATATGCTAGCAGATGTTGAATATTATTTATTGATTTCATTAATATGTCTACTTTAATATAATTTACACTAAATACTTATTCTATTAATCAACTATTTAAGTAATGTTAGAAATACTAGGTATGTAAATATATTGATAATTTTGTTAATTTAATTTTTTTTTTATAAATCATTAAAAAACTTATTCGTTGAAAACTAAAATTAGAAGAATATGCATTAATATAAAAAAGTACGCATATTCATTGTCGTACTAATCAAGTAATAAATAATCATGATCAATGATCATATGATCTTTGTTATCACTTGGTTGCCACTAAATTCTTGTAAAAATTTTTGGTCTTTAAGTATACATTATTTACATTATTTTCATTATGCCTTATGAATCTAGAACCTCGTTTGCTCGTAGCACTGGTTCTAGTTCTAATCGTGACGACGGTAATGATGGCGATTACGGTTCTAACGGAGATGATAAGCCTAAACCACAATTTAAAGATGAGTGTTTCAGAAAGATGGAATTAATGATTGAATTGTAAGTATTATTTCAGGTTTAGAAAGTTTCTTTAAATATTGTTTTCATGTACAAATTTGTTTACTTCTAATAACATCAAGCACGAATCTTCGTAACCCAAAACATTGTCCAAACGGTATTTATGTTATGCCTTCTGCAGATAATTTTCATAGTAAGAAATTTAATGAATCATGATTTATTTGTTTATTGTATTCTTTAATTCATACTAATTATATATGACTTATTTTTCATGATATCAGCTTGGTATGGAGTTTTATTTGTTCATAAAGGATATTATAAAAATGGAGTCTTCAAGTTTAAACTTAACATACCTGCTGAATATCCTTTTACAAACTGTTTGGCAAATTAAATCTTGATCGTGCAAATTTTTACTGTCTGTCTTCATACAAGATATTATTCCTTAACATTTTCTTTTTACTTACCCGGAGCGTCCACCAGCAGTGACATTTATTTTTACCCTGATCAATAATATTGATGGTTTGTTCCATCCTCTTATTGATCCAAACACTGGGAGTTTCTCTCTTTCTCAACAATTCAAGGACTGGGTTCCGCATAAATATTATATTTTCCATGTGCTTCATTATATTAAGAAATCTTTTAAGAAGACCGTCTTGGATAATTTGCTGGAAAAGCATTGTCCGAATAAGAAAGCTTTCTCTACGTTAGTACAACATTGCACGTGTTATTTGATTAGTTTTAACGAGTTATTTAAATTGTTTCCTCTTGATTTTAGATATCATAATGAGATACGAACGTTTTCAGTATTGGCAAAGCAATGCGCTGACTTATCAATTTCAAAGACTGTCCTTTACGATAACAATATAGAAGCCAATCCAATTCAATTCTCTGTCTTACCAGATGAAAAACTAGGTAATAATTTATTACGATTTATTAAAGAAATCGAATTTTAATATAATATATGATGATAAAAATATTCAGACCTGTTCCGAGATTATCTTTGAAGATAAATATTATTGCCATTTTAATAGCTGATCTTATTTATTATATATGATTGTTTGTATTTGATAATTGAATTTTAAAATATTGACATCATGATCATTTGTTTGTTTATAGATGAATTGAAGACCTTTATCAGTCCACCGGTAAAAAAAAAAAAAAAAATTATTAATGATTAATTTAGCGTAATTTTATTGGGAATCAAATCAATTAATTGCATTTAATATATTGTATAGGAAACCGAAAAAGGAAGGCCTAGCCACTCATCTCGCAGAACTTATTCTACGTCTTCAATGTCCTCTATTTTGCATCCATAGAAAATTTATTTTATTTAATTTATATCATAATAAAGGGAGTAAATGTGGGAAGTTTGTTTATAGCTTGTAGTTTATTGGTGTAAATTTCTTATTCTAATTCAATAAATAAAAAAAAAAACTATCTTCTTTCCATAAATCGTTAATCGTTTTATCATTTTACATGTGCTTTTGGCAATTATGTCGATCAAGTGACATAAAAACGTCAAAAAGTGGTTCAAATCTTGTGTGACAATTAGGATTTCCCACCAACAAAAATAAATTTGTCCCCAGAATACTGAAATAACGGAGGGCGTGATAAATAAAAAGATGATCGGCATGTCATCAGAATATAGACGCGCGATTTTTAATTTTGTTTGTAGGTAAAAAATATTTGTCCCGATCCGTATGACATTGAATTAATTTACCATAATATTCTCTATTTTTCATTGACAGTTAAAATTTTTTTTTTACAAAAAAAAAAAGAAAATTATATTTCAACAATTGCATTATGGAATAATGTTTTCCCATTATTTAAAAACTTTAAAGTTGCTCTACAAATGTAGTATGAAATTGCATTTCTTATCCTAATTAAATCTCTGTTAAATCCGTTTGTGCATTGTTTGTACCATGATTTCAATTATCCGAACTTGTTTCAACAACTCCCCCCTTATTGAAGTGATATGATGTAAGGTTATTTTGGATCGTGACGTAACACACGTTATTTTTGGTGGTATATGAAAGTCAGCAATGAACCATTTTTGTCTCTAAACGTCACTATAGGCTCTGCCTCATCTCGTCATAAACTTTTTCCCACTTTCACTTTTTTCCCCCGTTTATTACAATTTTCAGAAGGGTCTCTTTACTTTGCGTCCAACACGTCCATTTTTATTTATATTTTTTTATTTTATTTTTTTTTTCTTTGGTTAAAGAAAGAAAAAAAAGCGTCTTTCCTGACGATTTATCGAAAGGGTAATAAACAGACTGGGTTTAACGGGGAAACAAGTTTATAACAAATAACCAAAAGACGTATCAGAAAAAATGTCAGTTGAATTAAAACCTCCAGGACAGTTATCATTTCATCGTACGTATGACTTAGCTTTGATGGGAGGATTTTGCTGCTTTATCAAACCTTTTTCAAGTGGTCTTTTGGTGTGAGAATTTAATCAGCGTAGTGTCTTAAAAATAATCAAATTCCTATATCATTCAATCATGGTGGCGTATGCAGGACCTTTCACACAGCTTGTGAAGGAAATTCTTATCGTGCGTAATCCTAATCCAGAACCGGTAGCCTTTAAGGTTAAAACTACAGCTCCAAAGCAATATTGTGTTAGACCAAACTCTGGCCGAATTGAGGCGAACCAGAGTGTTGAGGTTCAAGGTAAATGACTTATTTCCATATTGAAGCATGTTTAGTTTCTGCTTGCATTTGTGATATCAATATATATTTGTGCGTGTGATTTATTATAATTGAATATAGTTATCCTGCAACCAATGAAGGAAGATCCACCAGCAGATTTCAAATGTAAGGACAAATTCTTGGTACAAAGTGTGGCAATTTCACCTGAACGTGAAACATTAACTTTACAAGATTTGGTATGATATATAGATAATTTTTTTTTTTTTTTTTATGGTCTTTGAAATTAATTTCGTGTTATTAATCATAAATAATTGTTGTAGTGGTCTACAACTGAGAAACAAGCAAAAGAAACGATCAAAGAAACCAAGATTCGATGCGTATATTTGCCCCCAGTTGAAGATAATTTACCCCCTGCGTCACCACCTCCAAATCTACCACTTCCGCCTCAACCATCTATTCCCTCCCGCCCATCTCCATCAATCTCACAAAAAGAAACTGCCAATGGATTAACAACGGAGCCTGTAAAGGATGAAAAGGTATTTTATTATTATTTTTATTTGTCATTTGCCTTTTTTTTAATCATAAATCCGTCGATTAAAATTTTATTTATCTTTTTCTAGAAAGACCAACTACAAGCATACAAATTACATGAAGATTCTAATGGACATAATAATATGGTTGGATCGTTTCCCGATCATACTAGATCTGCCGATGATGATAATCCCGCAAGGCTTCGGCGACAATTGATCGAAGCCCAAGAGGAAATTAAACGTTTAAATCATACGATTGATAATTATAAACAGGAGTTGAGTACAGCTCAAATGAGACAACGCAAGAGCGAGGAGGCTGCATCATCAAAGAGGAATAGTTCAATCGGTGGATTTTCTGTCAAGACTCAGGAGAAAATTCCTGAAGGATACTACCCATTTGAGGTCGTTATTGCGGCAGCTGTTGGGGCATTCTTGTTTGGAGTTATGTTTTTCTAAAGTATGTGGAGAATAATTTGAAGTTCGAATTTTTTGTTTGCTTAAACCATTTATTAATATTTATTACTTTTTAGCCTTTACTCAAATATAGATCCTTTAATTTTTCTTGTCACATTCAAGTAATGATTGATTATTAAAACGCAAAGAAACGTTAACATCATACTTGCCTATTACCATTTTTACTATATCTGACTCTTTATTTTTAATTATTATATTTATCTTTATCTTAATAATATATATATATATTTTTTCACTAACAAAAATTTCTTTTGAAAATCTCTTTATTTCCTTTCTTTATTAGACACTCCAAAAAAAAAAAAAATTCAATATTATAATTTGAAAATCTCAAAGCATTAATTGGCTTGCTTGTTTCTACCTATATTTCTTTTTTTTTTTTATGCTTATTTTGTGGGTTGGGACAGTAGAAGATGTTAATTGTTGAATAGGAGGAGCCTTGAAAAATATATTCGTATATATATAATATTTATACATATTTTTCTTCTTAATTTTTTTGTTGTTTTTGTTGAAATTGTTTTAATTTATGAAATTGGTGTACAAATAGTCTATAGCAGATATATTAATTAATAAGCAAAAAGATCTGAAACGGCGTTTTTGATCGTCGTCGTTTCTGTAGTTATACAACATTTCCATGTGTGGTTATTTCATAATGGTAAAAGTTGACCTTTTTTAAAAAAAACTCGTTGAATCAGGAAATCGATTTGTTCCCCTAAAAATATCTGGTACGCCCGTCGGACGTCATGTGATAAACAAAATTTAAACGTGTTTTTATAAAGATCTTCCTTTTACATTTCTGCATTAAAAAATTTTATTTTTATTTTTATTTTTTTTTTTAAAAAAAAAAAATACACATACTTTTATATAATATATAATGAAAACCTTGAAATTATGTCCACAATTAACCAAAGACTATATTTCATTTTATGAGAACGAAAAGACGAGTGCGGATGTCATAATTCGCGTAGGAAAGGAAGAGAATGTTAAAGACTTTCACGCACATTCCTTCGTCCTTGTTGTTCGATCTCAATACTTTCGTAAAGAGATTGAAAGGATGAAAGATAAAAGGAAGGACGAAGAAGGGGAGAAGGGGATCATCATCGAAAAACCCGAGGTTACCCCATCATTATTCGAGTTAATCCTGAAATATTATTACGGAGGGAACCTTTCGTTTGATGAGAATAATTTCAAAGAAACTTTTGGTTTACTATTAATCTCGAAGGAATTAGAAATCATCGAATTATTGGAACTATTGGAGGATCAATTATTAAACTCACCGAATCAAATTCATCAAAATTTTAGTACCACACTACAATTATCATTGGAATCATTTAATAAACTTTATGAATTCTGTTTGAAGACGATTCAAGAACGACCCGAGATCATTTTTAAATCCAAGGACTTTCACTTATTAAATGAGGATACGTTATTCACCCTCTTGCAAAATCAAGGATTAACTATTAAAGAGGTTGAGAAATGGGAATCCATCATCAAATGGGGGATTCATCATAGTTTTACGACACCTACGATTGATTATAACACGAGAATCCCGGATGTTACGTTGTGGACAAAGGATAAGTTTAGAGATTTGGCGAATACGCTTCAAAAGTTCATTCCGTTGATCGATTTTCATAAGATTGAACCGGAAAATTTTTATGAGGAGGTCAAACCATTTAAAAAGATTATTGATAAATCACTTTATAATGAGATACTTAAATATTATATAGTGTCTTCCAAAAAATCCAATGTGAACAATCCTAAACCGGAGGTACCAACCTCAAACGTTCACATAAGGTTAAGTTCGGTATTAATTGAATTGGATTGCTTTCAATTACTTATAAATTGGATAAACGAGACGATACCAGGCACCTCTTTAAATCGCTACAAGTTAACCTTATTATTAAAAGGAAGTGTGAATGGCTTTACCGCAAACACATTTCATGGGATGTGTGATAATAGAGGCGCGACGTTAACGGTCATTAAAATCCGTGGTTCAACAGAAATAATTGGTGGGTATAATCCCGCTAGTTGGAATCAATCGTTATACATTAACGAACCACTTTCCATAATAAGGGAAAGTTTTGTATTTAAATTAAATCAAAAAGATATTCGTCAATCGATCGTTGGTAGACCCGTCGCAGATGCCGTTTATACGATTGAAAATCATCCTAATAATGGTCCTTGTTTTTATGGTGCTTTGTATATTAAAGGAGGGAATCATGGGGATTTCAAAAGGGACATGCTTTGTTATTGTGATGGTGCGAATTATGGGGTTCAACTTAGAAAAACAAACAGTACATTTAGTGTGGATGATTATGAAGTTTATCAAGTAATCAAGGAATGATTTATTTAATTAACCCTGTCTAACCAAAATAAGTTGGATTGTTTAAAAAGTCAAAAATAAGATTTAATCGTTTTCGTTGTGTCGTCATAATAAAATCGTTCTAAATATTGATTCGCCTTTTTCAGTCACAAAAAAAAAAAATCAATAACTGGCACCGCCTCGTTCTTATCATCACAACAATTTTTTAAAAGTAAATATGGTGTCGTTAACTATAAGTTTGCCAATAAAGGATGGAAATTAATAGATCATATATATTGTTTTAAGCTTAAAGAAGAGACAAGATCATCAAAAAAGTTTGTAAATCATGTAAAATTTATTATACACGCATATCAAGAAAAGAAAGTTGATGGACAATAACAATGATAATGTAAATGAATTAATTCATTAATATTAGATAAATCCATTTTCACCGATAACACAATTAATTATAACATAATACTATACTATAGCTAGAATATTAAATTTGAGATTGAGGTAGATTTTATTAAGATAAAGTATTATTTTTTTTATAAAAATACCAGTATTATATTCTTTTATCACTATATTTAAGTTGCATAATAGTAATTCAAAATCCGAATTTTTTTTAAAATGGTATGTTAATATTATATTAGATCTTAATAAATTATTATTGTTATAAAAGAGTAGTATTTTATAAGAAATAATATGATAATAATATTTCATTTTTATTACAACAAAAAAGCAAAGTAATAGGTGATAGATCAAAAGATAATAAAATAGTTCTTTATAATATAAATTTATAATATAAACTTAAATGTTTTATATATAATAAAGAGTAATAATATTATTGAATTAATTAATAAAAGATAAAAGTTAATAATAAAATTATAAAATTAATAAAATAAAAAAATATTAAGAGTTTATTAGATTTTAATTAATTTATTATTATAAAATCCTTTTTTTATTATAGAATTTTCTTTTTTTAAAACTTTATAAAAATTTATATTATAAATATAAATTATCAAAACAATTAATATTATCTAATCAATTTTTATTAAAATAGTTAAATATTACTATAAAATTAAAAGAGTTAAAATAATCAAAAATTAACTTTAAATAAAATATACTATAAAATATTATTTATAAATTAATGTATTAATAAATATTACTTTAATTTAATATTAAATATATATTCTATTTTTAATCAATATATAGTATATAGGCCATTATGGGGGTTTTGAGACAAATTTCGAAATAGGTATTCAAAAGTCTGTAGCCTTCCCAGCTACTTTTCTGATATACAAAATTTTGAAATCTTTATTAAATCCCAAATTAGCCTACAAGACCAGGAAAACATATCAAAATTCAATATTGATTTCATGCTTAAAATCAACCAAGGGCTTAAATTTAGTTAACATATCTCCTTACCCAAATTTTGTATTTTCAAGACTAAGATATACACCATCTTTGTTAACACGCTGGCCTCATTTTAACCTCAAATAATATAACGAAAAAAGTATGCAATTCTGCTTGCCCTTGAAAAAGAACAGCGAGTACCGAGGACCGAAGTGTCCGAGTATACTCGCGGTTCACCAAAGCAAGCCTAATTAACATACTATATTTTCATGTTATCCTAGAATCAATTCAAAAGTTGATTCATTATCGGCTGGCAAGATCATAATTTTGGTACCCACTGAAATATGGATACCAAAATTTGTATACACACAAGAAAGTTAAAAACTCACAGAACATATTCTAGTATACCATTTTTTTTAATATACAAGAACACGTTCTAAAACCATTTCATTTACGCAAAAGTAGGACAAAAAATAGTATCAGAATACCAAAATTTTCGAATATATAAAGCTATTAGGTACCAAAATTCTGGATAAGGTACCAAAATTCTGGATGAGGTACCAAAAATTTCAAATAAGATCATAAAAGTCTCACCTCTAGATAGGAGTTCGGAGTATAGGATACCAAAATTTTAATAGCTTAGCTACCATTCATTAAAGCCCTAGAACACAACCTCTGATAGTGCTGAGAGACGTAAAACCTAAAAATTTAATTAATATTTAAAGAAAACTATTTTATAAGTATTATATAATACATACAATACTATAATTAAAGAAAAGAATTCTATAAGCATTATATATCAATTGCAATATCATGGTCGAATATACTTGTATTAGATGTGGTAAAAGTTTTCCCAAATTATGAAAACTTAGACGGCATAATGAAAGACAATATAAATGTCGACCAAAAGCAACTTCTACTCCTGAACACATACCTGAGCAAGTCTCTATTCCACAAAGTACTGATCAAGAGGGTGTTCAAGAAGATATACCTAGACCTCATTCACCAAGTCCAACTCCAGTAGTCCATACCCGAGGAAGGGATCGCCGAATGGAAAAACCCAAAGCTGTAATTCCAACTTCTGAACCTGAGCTAGCTCCTATCAAAGAACAAGAGGGTGAATATATCGATAGACATGCAAAAAAATCTGGAGAACATTTGAGAACATGAGGTGCAAGATTACGCTGAAGATGGATCAAGGTAACTAGTGAAGAATGCAATTTACCACTAACCTTAAAAGGTTGTCAACTTCTACATCATGATCTATTACAGGCAGATGATGAAGCTTTTGAATTACAACCTACCATATAGGACGAAATCCAAGAGGGCGATCCTGAAGTCGGACCAGGCCCAGCAACTCAAGCTTACAGAGAAAGACAAAAGAAAGAGATAGACTCAACTCCTGAAGCTTTTATTCAA